AGGGGGGGGACTATGGCAGTGACAGACCATCAGGGGGGGGGACTATGGCGGTGACAGACCACCAAGGGGGGACTATGGAGGTGACAGAACATCAGGGGGGGGACTATGGCAGTGACAGACCATCAGGGGGAGACTATGGCGGTGACAGACCACCAGGGGGGACTATGGCGGTGACAGACCATCAGGGGACTGTGCACCACGGATCAACAACAGACCACCAGGGGACTGTGCACCACGGGTCAACAACAGTCCACCAGGGGGACTGTGCACCACGGGTCAACAACAGACCACCAGGGGGACTGTGCACCACGGGTCAACAACAGACCACCAGGGGGACAGTGCACCACGGGTCAACAACAGACCACCAGGGGGACTGTGCACCACGGGTCAACAACAGACCACCAGGGGGACTGTGCACCACGGGTCAACAACAGACCACCAGGGGGACTGTGCACCACGGGTCAACAACAGACCACCAGGGGGACTGTGCACCACGGGTCAACAACAGACCACCAGGGGACTGTGCACCACGGGTCAACAACAGACCACCAGGGGACTGTGCACCACGGGTCAACAACAGTCCACCAGGGGACTGTGCACCACGGGTCAACAACAGTCCACCAGGGGACTGTGCACCACGGGTCAACAACAGACCACCAGGGGACTGTGCACCACGGGTCAACAACAGACCACCAGGGGACTGTGCACCACGGGTCAACAACAGACCACCAGGGGACTGTGCACCACGGGTCAACAACAGACCACCAGGGGACTGTGCACCACGGGTCAACAACAGACCACCAGGGGACTGTGCACCACGGGTCAACAACAGACCACCAGGGGGGGGACTGTGCACCACGGGTCAACAACAGACCACCAGGGGGGGGACTGTGCACCACGGGTCAACAACAGACCACCAGGGGGACTGTGCACCACGGGTCAACAACAGACCACCAGGGGGGACTGTGCACCACGGGTCAACATCAGACCACCAGGGGACTGTGCACCACGGGTCAACAACAGACCACCAGGGGGACTGTGCACCACGGGTCAACAACAGACCACCAGGGGGACTGTGCACCACGGGTCAACATCAGACCACCAGGGGACTGTGCACCACGGGTCAACATCAGACCACCACCAGGGTCAACATCAGACCACCAGGGGACTGTGCACCACGGGTCAACAACAGACCACCAGGGGGACTGTGCACCACGGGTCAACAACAGACCACCAGGGGACTGTGCACCACGGGTCAACATCAGACCACCAGGGGACTGTGCACCACGGGTCAACATCAGACCACCAGGGGACTGTGCACCACGGGTCTGTGCACCACGGGGGACTGTGCACCACGGGTCAACAACAGACACCAGGGGACTGTGCACACGGGTCCAGGGGTGCCCACTGTGCACCACGGGTCAACAACAGACCACCAGGGGACTGTGCACCACGGGTCAACAACAGACCACCAGGGGACTGTGCACCACGGGTCAACAACAGACCACCAGGGGACTGTGCACCACGGGTCGACAACAGTCCACCAGGGGGACTGTGCACCACGGGTCAACAACAGACCACCAGGGGACTGTGCACCACGGGTCAACAACAGACCACCAGGGGACTGTGCACCACGGGTCAACAACAGACCACCAGGGGACTGTGCACCACGGGTCAACAACAGACCACCAGGGGACTGTGCACCACGGGTCAACAACAGACCACCAGGGGGACTGTGCACCACGGGTCAACAACAGACCACCAGGGGACTGTGCACCACGGGTCAACAACAGACCACCAGGGGGACTGTGCACCACGGGTCAACAACAGACCACCAGGGGGACTGTGCACCACGGGTCAACAACAGACCACCAGGGGGACTGTGCACCACGGGTCAACAACAACCACCAGGGGGACTGTGCACCACGGGTCAACAACAGACCACCAGGGGGACTGTGCACCACGGGTCAACAACAGACCACCAGGGGGACTGTGCACCACGGGTCAACAACAGACCACCAGGGGGACTGTGCACCACGGGTCAACAACAGACCACCAGGGGGACTGTGCACCACGGGTCAACAACAGACCACCAGGGGGACTGTGCACCACGGGTCAACAACAGACCACCAGGGGGACTGTGCACCACGGGTCAACAACAGACCACCAGGGGGACTGTGCACCACGGGTCAACAACAGACCACCAGGGGGACTGTGCACCACGGGTCAACAACAGACCACCAGGGGGACTGTGCACCACGGGTCAACAACAGACCACCAGGGGGACTGTGCACCACGGGTCAACAACAGACCACCAGGGGGACTGTGCACCACGGGTCAACAACAGACCACCAGGGGACTGTGCACCACGGGTCAACAACAGACCACCAGGGGGACTGTGCACCACGGGTCAACAACAGACCACCAGGGGGACTGTGCACCACGGGTCAACAACAGACCACCAGGGGACTGTGCACCACGGGTCAACAACAGACCACCAGGGGGACTGTGCACCACGGGTCAACAACAGACCACCAGGGGGACTGTGCACCACGGGTCAACAACAGACCACCAGGGGGACTGTGCACCACGGGTCAACAACAGACCACCAGGGGGACTGTGCACCACGGGTCAACAACAGACCACCAGGGGGGGGGGACTGTGCACCACGGGTCAACAACAGACCACCAGGGGGACTGTGCACCACGGGTCAACAACAGACCACCAGGGGGACTGTGCACCACGGGTCAACAACAGACCACCAGGGGACTGTGCACCACGGGTCAACAACAGACCACCAGGGGGACTGTGCACCACGGGTCAACACCAGACCACCAGGGGACTGTGCACCACGGGTCAACAACAGACCACCAGGGGACTGTGCACCACGGGTCAACAACAGACCACCAGGGGACTGTGCACCACGGGTCAACAACAGACCACCAGGGGACTGTGCACCACGGGTCAACAACAGACCACCAGGGGGACTGTGCACCACGGGTCAACAACAGACCACCAGGGGACTGTGCACCACGGGTCAACAACAGTCCACCAGGGGGGACTCTGCACCACGGGTCAACAACAGTCCACCAGGGGGGACTCTGCACCACGGGTCAACAACAGTCCACCAGGGGGGACTCTGCACCACGGGTCAACAACAGTCCACCAGGGGGGACTGTGCACCACGGGTCAACAACAGTCCACCAGGGGGACTGTGCACCACGGGTCAACAACAGACCACCAGGGGACTGTGCACCACGGGTCAACAACAGTCCACCAGGGGGACTGTGCACCACGGGTCAACAACAGACCACCAGGGGACTGTGCACCACGGGTCAACAACAGTCCACCAGGGGACTGTGCACCACGGGTCAACAACAGACCACCAGGGGACTGTGCACCACGGGTCAACAACAGACCACCAGGGGACTGTGCACCACGGGTCAACAACAGTCCACCAGGGGGACTGTGCACCACGGGTCAACTACAGACCACTAGGGGACTGTGCACCTCGGGTCAACAACAGACCACCAGGGGACTGTGCACCACGGGTCAACAACAGACCACCAGGGGGACTGTGCACCACGGGTCAACAACAGACCACCAGGGGGACTGTGCACCACGGGTCAACAACAGACCACCAGGGGGACTGTGCACCACGGGTCAACAACAGACCACCAGGGGGACTGTGCACCACGGGTCAACAACAGACCACCAGGGGGACTGTGCACCACGGGTCAACAACAGACCACCAGGGGGACTGTGCACCACGGGTCAACAACAGACCACCAGGGGGACTGTGCACCACGGGTCAACAACAGTCCACCAGGGGGACTGTGCACCACGGGTCAACAACAGTCCACCAGGGGGACTGTGCACCACGGGTCAACAACAGACCACCAGGGGGACTGTGCACCACGGGTCAACAACAGACCACCAGGGGGACTGTGCACCACGGGTCAACAACAGACCACCAGGGGGACTGTGCACCACGGGTCAACAACAGACCACCAGGGGACTGTGCACCACGGGTCAACAACAGACCACCAGGGGACTGTGCACCACGGGTCAACAACAGACCACCAGGGGGACTGTGCACCACGGGTCAACAACAGACCACCAGGGGACTGTGCACCACGGGTCAACAACAGACCACCAGGGGGACTGTGCACCACGGGTCAACAACAGACCACCAGGGGGGGACTGTGCACCACGGGTCAACAACAGACCACCAGGGGGGGGGGGACTGTGCACCTGGTATAGCTAACGCTGTTTAGTTTAGCGTTAGCCGTAGTTACGGGCTCGCCTCGTTAACAACCTAACAACATCCTGTGTAGTCACTTAACCGAAAAAGTCAAACTATTATAAAAAACACTTAACCCATAGGGCGCGATGGGTAGTACTGGACAGCCGGGTTTGTTTACTCACAATCCAGAATTCTGGGTTCGAATCCCCGGGCGGGACAGAAATGGTTGTGCGTGTTTCGTATCACCTAATGCACTGTTCACTTAGCAGTAAGTAGGTACCAGGGGCCAGATTCACGAAAGCACTTACGAACCTGTACATCTTTTCTCAATCTTTGGCGGCTTTGTTTACAATTATTAAACAGTTAATGAGCACCGAAGCACCAGGAGGCTGTTTATAACAATAACAACAGTTGTGTGGCAAGTTTTCATGCTTGTAAACTGTTTAATAAATGTAACCAAAGCCGTCAAAGATTGAGGAAAGATGTACACGTTCGTAAGTGCTTGCGTAACTGCTTCGTGAATCTGGCCCCAGGAGTTAAGTCAGCTTGTTGTGGGGTTGCATCTTGGGGGGGGGGGGGGGTCAGTAATTCGTCTTAGAGGGGGGGGGGCTCGATATAAGCCTAATATGTATACATATGTACACATTGGCTCCGACACAATTATAATTCAATGACATTAATGACCTGTAGTTGGTGTTCGTGGTATGTGACCCATCTTGCCTTCGTCTTAGTTACCATCTTGGTTGACACTAACCTGCAGTACTGGTGTTACTGGCAAGATGTTGGAGGTCTTGTGCTTTCTGCCCGTCAGTCTCGCCTTACTGCTTGTCTGGAGTCACACACTCTTCCTGTCTTCTAATATTTATCTTCATTTAGAAGGGGCGAGAAGTTCCATAACTTCTGGAATGGTCAACTTTTTGGTGTCTTCGTCTACTGTGACGTAATGTGAGGCCAATAGTCCAACTCTCACAAGTGTTTGTTATGACGTAGTGAGTCTGCCGCGGTGTTTAGAGTTCCTCCTAGTGTAAGTATCAATACTCAGTGTAACTATAATAATATTTTACAGTAAGTGACAGACGTAGCGTCCATCCCCTCTGACTGCGTGTCCGTCACTGACCGCGTGACGCGGGCCGGCGGGCGGAGGCGGGTCAGGAGCAACGTTGCTATCTTGTTACCATATACCCACCTCCTCAGATATTAATATTTATATTACTCTTACTATTTATTACTTGCAATATTTGCATATTAATTATTATATATTATTCAACGGAGAGAGTTCCGTTATATATATTATTAACATTAATTAGAAAAATCAAGGCGGCAAGTCAAGTTGCTGGCGACACCTTGCAATCTTGTTGAAGGGTGAGGCGTGATTCTCAACCTTACCAACGACCTAACAATCTCTCCCATAAACTATAATGATATATTTCCACATAATTCGACTTACATACGATGATCGTTTTATTTATAAACGGTATACAAGCTTCAAGTTTGATTGGCACTGATTTAATATTCAAATATGGGAGTTTTTTTTTGGTGAGCAGGCATTGGTTGAGCGGGCATTGGTAACGGGCTAAATGTGTGCGTGTGGGCATGATGTGCTATGGAATCTACTAAAGGATTAAATTTTACATCGAAAGTCCCATACTTGGAAACACATTTACGTCGTTGGGGAATATAAATATTTATATCCTTTCAAAAACCGTTACTGCTCGGGGCAACACGTTTGTGCTTGACAGTTTTTTTTAAGTCGTTATTCTTATGGAGGCGACTGGAATCACGCCTCTATGTGTTTAAATAATATGTCCCTTAACAGTTTTAAAATGGGCCTGTTTCTGTTGTTATAACAGATATTGAGGCTATTGTAGCAGATACTATTTGAGCTCCAAACTGAGATACACAGGATACATACACTTTTGAAATGTACATCTCTTTTGTGTGTATATATACACATATAATTGACTTGTTGGTTGGTCAGTAAAGTATGATGGTGGCCTTAATAGTCCTAACTTGAGAGATCTATCTTGAGATGATTTCAGGGCTTAGCGTCCCCGCGGCCCGCTCCTCGACCCGGCCTCCTTTTTGTTACACATCCCCAGGAAGCAGCCCGTAGCAGCTGTCTAACTCTCAGGTACCTATTTACTGCTAGGTGAACAGACGCATAAGGGTAAAAGAAACTCTGCTCATTTGTTTCCTCCTCCACCGGGGATCGAACCCGGAACCTCATGACTACGAATCCCGAGCGCTGTCCACTCAGCTGTCAGGCCCCTGACAGCAGACACCCAGCATCACAGGACACAACAAGGCATTCACAAGTGAAACTACAAAGTCAGTTTTTTAATAATAATGTTTAATGTAACTTATATCACAGAAAGAAACAATAAAATGTTCACTTAATAGCAGGGAAAATGTATAAAGATCAGTTAACATTAAAATTCAAATATTTGAGCTTCGTTACAAGAGTCAAGCATGGGTGTCGTCGGGATAACATGAAGTACATTTCTGTAGTACATCCATTAGTCATGCTGAACACTTTAGACAAGAAAATAATATTTATGTCCAAGGAATGTAATGACAACATTCAAAAATTCGTAGGGTACAAAGATTCATAAATCCAAAAAACTTCAACATTTCCATAATCTAAAACATGGAAGAATGGAGATCTAAAGCTCAATAGCGAACACAGCTGAGTTAGAGTATCCCTGCCTCACTCAGCCTGCCCTAACCCGGGAGGTGGTGGAGGCTGGCCCTCTGCTGGGCCCTCAGCTGGGCCCTCAGCTGGGCCCTCAGCTGGGCTGGCATGTCACGTGAGCAACTTGGCTTGAGGGGTCTGTGCCAAGAAACAATACCGTTCACTTGGTTATGGTTTGCTGCTCTTGGTCTTGTGCAAATAAAAAACAAAAGTCAACTGATCAACACAGCTGTCATCGTAGCCATCAACAGCGTATACTGTTTGGTGTAGAATTTATACATCGAAATAAGATAAACAAAAATTTTGTGGGGGAGGGGATCTATAAAATGTGATGGGGGCCAATACTGTTGGGTTTAGTGATAATAATACCATGGTTGATCCCAGTAATCAGAAGAATTACCGTTCATAAAAGACTGACAAATTATTCTTCTCACACCAATGCACAAGACTCAAAATTGCGAACCAAATCACAAATGTGGCTAAACTGTCTCTGGGCAGTTGTCTCGCAAGTGATTATATATTTGTTCCCCCATTCTTTTTTGGGGGGTTTGAGAATTTATAGTAAGAAAAAAACGTTTTCTCACTTGAGTATTTGTTTCACACCGGTTTTGAATCTTTCAGATTATTTAAAAACTAGACACCATTCTTTCACACCTTCTCAAACTCCAGTATTTATTTCTATATTTTAAAGTGTCGCGCCTCACCACCCAGCCAGGTACAAAAACACACTGTAACACCACGAAAGGAAACTACAAAGATTCCTAATAATGTCACGAGTGACAAATTTGTTCCCTGGAACATTGCAACAATACAACATACTTGAATGTAAAAAAGACACACACATAAAAACCAATGAAAACCCTCAAATTTAGTACCATGCAAGGCCCAAATCTGCCCCACGTGACATAATGTACCTAAATGTTGAAATTGACCTTTTTCCTACACACTCGGGTGACCCCGTCTGACCCACTGGGGTCCGGGGTCAGCTCTACTACAGGATCGTCTAAACTTCCTAACACGGAAACTGACAACCATTCTTTGTTGAACGAAACTCGAGAAAGGTGAGCTGGAAGCCACTTCAGAGCGCACTAGCTATGTTTCTCATGCCAGAGTGCTAGTAACGACTAGATTGCATCACAGACCTCATAAAAGCCTCCTATTACCACAATTTGTGTCATATGGAATCCCAACTGATAAGTGCTAGCAAAATATGAATTTGTAGTGTTGTACATTATTGCTTCATTACCATAATACTCCAAAGGACAATTTTTTGGTTTGTCTCTAGAGATTTTAACCTAAAAAATTTCCTCGGGTTTCCATTTGTGTGTGTGTCCATGTGTTAAGATTCCAAGATGACTATTCTTCTATTAAAAAAATTTCTGAAGGTGGCTTCCAAGACCGGAAAGGACTGACGGGGGGGGGGACTATAAGACCTTACCCAAGTGGTGTCAACTTGGACCATATTACTGTCTTTATTAATTACCCTTCATGTGGTCGATGTGTGTCCCACACATGTCATTCCTTACAAGGATGTGAAATGTTACTGCACACGCGTTATGTATCGCCATACATAGCGTTATGTATCGCCAGGTCTGCCGTCTGGAGACGTTAAAAGTTGTCTTACCTAGTGCATGTTGTAGGCCTTCTCTGCCTCCGTCTTCTTAGTAATATTAATGAATATTAAAACATGTCGACTGATATGTTTGTCTTGGATATCCCACTACTGTATGAACGTGATATAACAGAGCTGACACCACTTGGCCAGGATACATTTGGGTTGTACAGGGGAGGGGGGGGGAGGGTAGACACTAGGAATGTACGGGGAGGTAGCGGGACACTTGGGGTATACAGGGCGACAGGGGGACACATTGACGGTGGACACTCATGACAACGTCCACAGGAGGGGGGGGGGGGGGGGGGGAGGGGGGCACAGGGGGTGGGGGAAGAGGGGGGGGGGAGGGCGTCAGGGGCAGCAGCACTCGGAGCACTCATACTCTCAACACGTTCTACCCAGTCACATATATTTCCCTCCTGGGTAGCGGAGGGCAGTGACGCGGGGCCCAGCACGCTGAGAGTGCGAGCCTTGGACAGTTTGGCAGCAAAGTATCTTTGAGTTACAGCTTCTGAATCTGCGATGAATATCATTACAGCTTCAGAATCTGTGACGACTATCATTACAGCTTCAGAATCTGTGATGACTATCATCACAGCTTCAGAATCTGTGATGAATATCATTACAGCTTCAGAATCTGTGATGAATATCATTACAGCTTCAGAACCTGTGATGAATATCATTACAGCTTCAGAATCTGTTATATCATTACATTTTCAGAATCTGTGATGACTATCCTCCATGCCCACTGCGAAGCTCAAGCCGAAACCCACCTGTTAAAACTGCAAGAAAAATTTGATCCTTACAAACGGATATCATATATCCAATTTGCAATTTAAATGCCCATATAATTTGTACCATTAATTCTTAATCCTAGGATTTTTATATATTTTTTTCTATCAAATTTTTATGCCTCCACTGCCCAGGTGACCCGGTTTATTAAAGTCCTCTATGCGTTCGTCCGTACTACGAATATAAGAAATTTATATATATATATATGTATTGTTAATACTTTTTAGGTTACGTAATGTGACTTTTTAGTTGTTATTTTTGCTATAAAAACGACACATTATATTCGTAATACACCCAAAGCCACCAGAGCCCCATGTTATAAAATTTAATAGTATATTCAAGTATTGTAATTGGGTCAAAGATTTATACAATTTTGTTTTGTTTTGTTAAGGAGGGCATTGTATTCTGATGTGTGGACCTGGATAGGTTTGTATAAGACACTGATCAAACCGAGGGAGAATTTGTGGCAGTGGAGACATATACACGTGTTTCACAAACACAATTCTAGCTCCACCTGATGGTCGATTAGTGCGTGCAACCTCGAGACGTGATATCTTGGCTAGAAGATATCACGTCGCAGGCAACTTGCAATTTTTTTTTTTTGTTTAGATCTGGCTAATAATGTTGCAGTAAATATCCAGTGATCACTGGTCTGTTAAAACTATTGACAACAACCAAACAAATAAGAAACAACAACGAATAGTTTCGCTAGTTAATCTGCCTGTTTATTGGTCTGCAAAATATGGATTTATGTGCAAGCATGGGGTTGTTGTTGTTGCTGTTGTTGTTGTTGTTGTTGTTGTTGTTGTTGTTGAGCGGCTCCAGCGTGCCGCGGCCACTGAGACCGAGTTCTACCTTATTGCTTTATGTTCAATCCCAATCCAGTAAGTACACAAATTCCAAAGGATACACTTAAAGTCCATTTTCACACGTAAAACAATTGCAACACCTTCAAATATCGTCAACATGAATGATTCAGACACAGTAGCTAACAAGTGTTACCTAGAGACATTGGCACATAAGGTTCACATCGAGCTTCCCACTCTCCCTTTGTACATAATGATAAAGAAAACGTCAGGCTGCCCTGGGAGTACTAAGCCCACATATAACTTCACTTGCCATAGTTCAACTCTCTAAGAATATACACAACTCACACTTGAGAAAACTAGTAAAAGAAAATTAGAAAAATTGTAACAGCAATATATATATATATATATATATATATATATATATATATATATATATATATATATATATATATATATATATATATATATATATATATATATATATATATATATATATATATATATATATATATATATATATATATATATATATATATATATATATATAATCATTTCCTTCTCTACAACCTTTGGTTCAAGCAACGGGTCCCAGGGTCCTGTGAAACATGACCACCGCACACAAGGCTAGGCCGCACTCAAGGCTAGGCTGCACACAAGGCTAGGCTGCACACAAGGCTAGGCCTCCGCGCGCCACGTCTTGGCACGAAATTGAAAAAATAAGAATGATGCAGTGGGTGCCATTTTAGGAGGGTGGGTGAGTCTGCACACTAGCCACGAGGGCCACCGTGGCTTCGGGGAGGCATACCCCACACACGACCCCTGGGCATCACCCTGCCCGCCTCTTGAGTGACTCCGCTCGACGCCTGACTTTGCCTTGGGGCACAAACATGGCCTATGCAATTGCCAGGCTTCGTTACACATTGCATATATATTGCATTTGCATATGTTATGGTTGAGTGCATAGGAGGAGTGTGTCAGCAATTCATTTATCCACTGCTTTGTGGTCATCCAGGCCCTTATGGGTCATGCCTCTCAGATCACTAGAAAGAACTCCATAAAACAGCACTCCCTGAGTTGGAAGAGGCAATCATGTATACACGATTAAAGTTGAGGGTCACAACCGAGACGAGAAGGTATCTGAGAAACGAGGGAGAAAAAAAAGAGTGACCCTAGACACAATACTAGAGGAAATTGCAGGTCCTCCTACAGACACAACACACTGGTTCATTCAGAAGCCGTAAAAACCATCTCACACTGGGCAGCCCTCACACATTGAAGGAATACCGCCACACACAGGACAGTCCTCACTCGTTAGAGGAGGGAAGAACACAAGAGGGAAGACTATTGTGGCTCACTGAGAGGAGGGGAGGAAGATGAACCACAAATACAAGAGAGTATTTACCCATAGGATATAAAAAAGCACAACTCTTTATCAGGAGTTAAATTTATATCACGGTCGTTAAAAACCTTTGAGTAATCAGTATTAGTTGAATTGAGCTTATAAATTATGAAACCGGGTATTTAAACTGGAAATGCCCACACTGAACGACAGTACCTAAAAATAATTGAGTAAAAATCGCCACTAGAATGTATGGCCTTGATTGAGGTATACCCCAGTCGTTGTAACACACACGAAGAACAATCCTGGTACTGATCACGGCCACACCCGGTGGGTTCAGGAGACCCATCGTCGTTGGAACACTACTAGGAACACTGGGCAGACAGGGAAGGGTCAGCACTATCAAGGGTATCGGGGGAGGCCAGAGAGTTTGGCCAGCTCTCTGGAGAATGTGAGGGGGAAGGAGTGAGCCGTGGTCAGTAGTACTGATAATGGTATGTTGGGGGCGGGGAGGAGTGGCCGTGGTGCCGCGGGTACGGGGATGACGGGTATTGAGAATAGGGTGACGATCTATCTTTACTAAGCTGAGAGTTGGGGGTGAGGGGAGGTCCTGGGGTGCCCGGCTGTAAGGGCACAGCACCCCCTGTGACAAATACTTCCCCGTGAGTATGGGTTGTGAAAGATGGGGATAACTCTGGTCTTGGTATTGGAGACATTTGTCGCGAGGTGAACAATGGTGAGTGAGGCGCAGGAGCCACAATGCGGCTAATGGGAGGTAGTGGGGGGTTGGCTGAAGGGGAGAGCGGGGGGCTGCCTATCCCCCCTCGCTCCACCATACCTAAATTCACAAGGGGTGACATTTGGCCGTGCGGAGACAATTGGGAATATGGCGGGAGCTGAGTGTGAGGGGAGAGCTGGTTGTGGGGTGATAACTGATTACAAGGCGAGAGTTGGTTGTGTGGGGAGAGTTGTGAGTGTGGGGAGGACCCGCGGAGCGCGGGGTGGTTGTGACTGGGAGAAGAGACTCTATGTAAATCAGGATCATGTCTTGGAAGAGTAAGATCAAGGGAGTGACGGTCGTCAGGGTGGGAGTCTGACACGTACACAGTTGTACAGACAGACCCTTGTCTGAGTGCCTCACTCGTGTAGGTGAGTGTGCGACCTGTAAGACTCAAATCTACAGAGTGCGAGGGCACTCGTTCTAGCTCATAGAGCTGAGCACGACCAGACTGGTGGCTCACTTCTCCATGATATCGCTGCTGGAGACTAGCGAGGTCAGAAGGTCGCAGGAAAAGGTTTGCTCGCGTCATATCAACACACTGGTCAAGGGGCACGGGCGAGCGCATGCCATCAGTCACTAGATATGAACGGAGAGCATCTGGCGTTGGGCTTGGCGAAAGGTAGGGTGACCGCGGAGGCTCCGGGGATCGCAGCGCAGGAAGCCCGCGGAAGTCGTGGGGATGCAACTCAGGCAGCGGCAGCTGGTCAGCAAGGTGGTCGTTGCGAGGCGACAGGTGACCCCCGTCACCCATGGGGTCCAGCCCCATTGATGCCTCAGAGTCGTCAAGGTGACTGGGAAGGCAGTGGTCTTGACTGACAGGCGTCAACTCAGCATGGCGGTAGTGCTTGTAACTCATATCCAGACCCACAGATAATGAGGATGATAACGACACAGGCAGCCCCTGAGACACCGGCAACTGGTCCAGGACCTGCAGCGTGGGCTCCAGTCCACCACTCGAACTGAGCGGTGTGGGCGGGGCCATGGGCGTGCCAGGGTCCACCGGCGTGGCAGGGGTTGGCGGTGGGAGGTCGTCTGACTTAACTAGAGTGAGATTATGAGCGTGGTCCGAGTGATGGGTCTGGTGGTGAGAGTGGTGCAGGTCGTCAGGGGCGGGGGGCAGGTGGTCCAGTGCAGCGTGCAGATTGTCATGCAAGTCGTGGCTTAACTGCTCATTCAGTTCCCGACTGCCTATCGTCTCGTGTACCACCATGACCTCCGGTAGGTCACGGGGGTCGTACTCTCGTTCTAAAGTGTACTCCAGGTGTGCTCGCTCGTCGTCGGCGGCGCTAGTATACTTTATGTGCGTTGCGAGTGCCGCATCATGCGGTAATATCTGCTCCATGGAGGTCACAACGGAGGTGGGTGGCAAGGGGGAGTAGCGGCCACTGTACCCCAGCAGACGGTCGTGGCTGCCCACCCCCCGTCCGTCCATCTTCATGGTCTGCTCCGCCACGTTGAGAGCAGCCTCCACCAGCAGCGACGCGTTCGACTCTCGTCGGTATAATTTTTCTTCCCCAGTTATGTCCTCTTCCTTCTTTCTTCTCTGCATGAGCTCTTCTTCTAACCGGTCATCGAAGTCATAAACATCGCGAGCATCGTCAGCATCGTAATCTCTGTCTTGCATATCTAAAGGATCACCAAGCCACTTCCGAGAGCCTTTACTAACGAGGCGAGTTGCCGTCGTTGTGTACTTGGTGACGTAGCCATGTAGGGTGGCCGCAGGTGGCAGCTTGGCTGCAGCCGCAAGCAGGAGGTCAGCTCTCGAAGATGGAGGACCTTCGTTTGCAGTAAGGGAGAGGGGAGGGTCGGCACTGTGTGAGGAGTCGTCTGTAGTAGGGTGTTCAGCAGGAGTGTCAGCTGACGTGTTCATGTTCTCAGAGTTATGGTTGAGAACCTTGCCCCGCCCCGGGTCGTTCACCATCCCTCCGGAGTACGAGTCGAAGGTATAAGGGATGCAACGCTCTATTGTGGGCATGCTCTCGCAGGTGTAGCCGTGCACCTTCTTGTAGTGGAACTGAAGACACTGTTTGGTCGTGAAGGCCGCGTTGCAACTCGCCTCAATACATCTGGGGGCACAAGGACAAATTAGGCTTCAGTAGTATATACTAGTCAGAATTATTATTGTGACCAGCATTAACGTGAAGAAGTCGACAAGTTGCATCAATTTTAGATTTCATTTAGTATTAGATTGTTGAAAAACAACCGCTAACAATAATTATTTGGGTAAAGTGCGTAAGTAATTATCAAAAGAAGACCATGAGCATAACAATAATATTTATATATTCTTGTATCCACCACCTCACTAGCCCCCGACCTGCTAGGTTACCATTTCGCTTAAACCCCGGAATTATTAGCCCACCATCTGAGTTCACTCCTCATCCTAAAACAAACCATCCCAAGCCCCGTTTCCTCTGCACACCATCTAGTGCCAGCTCCAGATCCCCCCTGAGCACCACCTGATCCCACCCACCCGTCACCTCAGCCCACCATACACACTGCTAAACCACTACCACGCTAGAAGCTCCAGACTGACCACGCCGCGACCCAAGAGCCCATCGCTGGCTCCTGGGGAGGGACTCACTTGAAAGGCTTGACGCCGGAATGGGTGAGCATGTGTATCTTGAGGTTACTCTTGTTCTGGAACATCTTGCCGCAGCGGTCACACGTGGCTCCAGTGCTCAGGTCCTGCAAACAATACTCGTGTTAAGATAGTGTTAAGATATTGCACTAGCAATTACCTGGAAAGGACGCCAGGGGGTCACAAATGTAGAAGACACTGAGACAAAAGATGCCCAGTCAGAGCTGGTAGATATGCAGTAAGGGGTGGTAGATACCCAGTCAGAGCTGGTAGATGCCCAGTCAGATCTGGTACATACCCAGTCAGAGCTGGTAGATACCCAGTCAGGGCTTGTAGATATCCAGTCAGAGCTGGTAGATACCCAGTCAGAGTGCAAGTAAGGAAAGTTAGGTCAGCTGACAATTCCGGCAAAGGTGCACCAGATCTAGACGTTGGACCCGAGGAGCCCACCAAGGAAGGGAAGAAAAGCATGGTTGGGAGGGACAGCTATCAGAATCTATACTTGGCATTTGGGGGTCACGTTACGTACAAGATACACATATTGCATTCAAATAACTAACTTGTTACATCATTTAATTGATGTGTTAATATGAGAATGTGTGTGTGTGTAATTACCTAAGTGTAGTTACAGGATGAGAGCTACGCTCGTGGTGTCCCGTCTTCCCAGCACTCTTTGCCATATAACGCTTTGAAACTACTGACGGTCTTGGCCTCCACCACCTTCTCACCTGACTTGTTCCAACCGTCTACCACTCTGTTTGCGAAAGTGAATTTTCTTATATTTCTTCGGCATCTGTGTTTAGCTAGTTTAAATGTGTGTGTGCGTGTGTGTGCACTCACTTATTTGTGCTTGTAGGATCTAGCTCTAGCTCTTGGATCCCGCTTTTCTAGCCGATAGATGTCCAATGCGATGATCCCCCCCCTGGCCTATATCCCGATCATAACCTGCTTTAAAAGGTACGAATGGAGTTAGCCTCTACAACCTGCTCCTTTAGGTCATTCCATTTACTCACTACCCCTTACGCTAACAGAAAAGTTTCTATCATCTCTATGACACATCTGAATCTCAAGCTTCCATCTGTGCCCCCTTGTTCTATTGTTATTCATTGTAAATATTTCCTCTGTTTACACCTTGTCAATCCCTCTAAGTATTTTATACGTCTGTATCATGTCCCCCCTCTCCCTCCTCTTTTCTAACGTCGTCAGGTTTAATTCGTTCAGTCTGTCTTTGTACCTCATCCCTCGCAGCTCTGGGACCAGTCTCGTTGCAAACATCTGCACCTTTTCGAGCTTCCTGATGTGCTTTAAGATGGGGCTCCACGATGGTGCGGCATACTTTAAGACTGGCCTCACATAGGCAGTATACAGTGATCTAGAAGCCTCCTTATTCAAGTTTCTGAAGGATGTTCTCACTTTCGCCAGAGTATGCGGCTGATGTTATTCTATCTATATGAACCTCTGGAGTTAGGTTTGGTATTATGTCTACTCCCAGGTTTTTTTCTTTAGTCGTTACAGGGAGGTGGTTTCCCTTCATCGTTTATTGGCCTTTCGGTCTCCTGGCTCCTGTCCCCATTTCCATCACTTTGCACTTGTTAGTGTTGAACTCAAGCAGCCATTTCTCGGACCATCTCTGCAACCTGTTCACGTCATCCTGGAGAATCTTACAATCCTCATCTGTCTAACCCTCCTCATTAGTTTTGCATCATCTGCAAAAATTGACATAAAAGACTCAACTCTTGCAGTTAAGTCATTTACGTAAATGAGGAATACTATGGGACCCAGCACCGATCCTTGAGGCACCCCGCTTGTTACTCTACGCCAGTCCAACTCCTCGCCCCTCATTGTCACTCTGACACCTGTCTGTTAGGTAATTCCTTACCCATGTTAGTGCGTTTCCGTCTACTCCCGCCTGCCTCTCAAGTTTATATAGTAGCCTTCTGTGTGGTACTGTATCAAAGGCTTTTTGCAGTCTAGAAATATGCAGTCTACCCATCCTTCTCTGTCTTGCCTTATTTTCGTTACCTTAATCCTAAAAATCCAGGAGGTTCGTCAGGCATGATTTACCTTCTCTAAAGTCGTGCTGATGTTTGCTTATAAAGCAAATTCTTTCTAGGTTTGCAACTAGTCTTGACCTTATAATTCTTTCAAGCACTTTGCAACAGATGCGTTTGAGTGACACTGGTCTATAGTTAAGTGCCACTTCTCTATCTCCTTTCTTGTAGAGTGGCACCACATTTGCCTTCCTCCAGCATCAAGGCAATTTCCCCTTTGTAAATAACTTATTAAAGATTAGTGCTAGAGGTATGCTGAGGGCCTATGCTGCTTCTTTTAACATCCATGGTGATACTCTATCAGGCCCAGTTGCTTTAGGTACATCCAGTATGCTAGTTATTCTTATTTCCTCTGCTGTTACCTCGATATCTACAAGTTTCTCGTTAGGGGCAGCTTCCTCATCTAGCTCTGGGAGCTTTTCAGGCTCATTAGTGAACTCATTAGAAGCTGGCATTGAGCACCTCGCAAATTTCTTTATCATTTACTGTATATTGGCCTCACAAAAAAGGTCTCCCCTTTTTCGTAAGTTGGTCACTTGGGTCATTCACTGTCATTTTCCTTCTTATATGGCTATGTACAAGTTTCGGTCGGCTCCTTGCTTTGGAGGCAATATCATTTTCATAGTTTCTTTCTGCCAATATTCTTATGTTTATGTAGTCATTCCTGGCCCTGTTGCATCTAACCCGGTTTACCTCTGTCCTTTGTCTTCTGCATTTCCTCCACTCCCTCCTGCTTTTTACTTTTGCTTCCTGGCACTGTCTATTGAACCACGGGTTCAATAGACAGTATTCTATTGAGTATATGCTCTCCCTACCCTCACTAGAGCATATACTCTAGTCCTAGACTGTCTTCCCTTCAAGTTCCTCCTCCCATTGCACACTTCCCAGATACTCTCTTTTATGTAGTCATCTTTTTTATAGTCTGCTCTCCCTTCCCTGACTCCTTGTCTTATGGGCACTGTTCTGAGTTCCGTCATGTAGTCGAATACCAGGACACAATGGTCACTTGCTCCTAGTGGTATTTCATGCTCTTAAGTTCTCAATGTCTTCCTCATTCTAAGTGATGATCAAGTCCAGTAGGATTGGTTATCTCCTCCCCTTTCTCTTTTGTCTTCCTTTACATGTTGTGTTAAGAAGTTTCTTTAAGCAACTTCCACTGATTTCGCTCCCCACGTTTCTTCCCCACCATGAGGATTTCTGGATTCTCAGTCACTCTCTCTGATTTAGGTTCCCCATGACTAGAAGTTTAGCTCTCATTCTGTGTGCCAATGTTGCTGCTCTCTGCAATGCCTCTATGCATGCTTTTTTGTTGTCATCGTATTCCTGCCTGGGTCTTCTGTTGTGGTGGGGGGGGTTGTAAATTACCAGGACCACAATAATTCTTCCATCTGCTGCCAGTGTCCCAATGATGGCGTCTGTGTATTCATTTTCACTCAGATTCTTGAGTTCTTTGAATTTCCACTCCCATTTTACCACGAGTGCAACTCCTCCTCCTTGCCTTTGTTGTCTTTCTTTCCTTATCACTTGGAATCCCCCTGGGAATATTGCATCAGAGATCATATAATTTATTTTCGTTTCCACTAGTGGGTGTGTGTGTGTGTGTGTGTGTGTGTGTGTGTGTGTGTGTGTGGACTCACCTAGTTGTACTCACCTAGTTGTGTTTGCGGGGGTTGAGCTCTGGCTCTTTGGTCCCGCCTCTCAACCGTCAATCAACAGGTGTACAGATTCCCGAGCCTATCGGGCTCTGTCATATCTACACTTGAAACTGTGTATGGAGTCAGCCTCCACCACATCACTTCCTAATGCATTCCATTTGTCAACCACTCTGACACTAAAAAAGTTCTTTCTAATATCTCTGTGGCTCATTTGGGCACTCAGTTTCCACCTGTGTCCCCTTGTGCGTGTTCCCCTTGTGTTAAATAGACTGTCTTTATCTACCCTATCAATCCCCTTCAGAATCTTGAATGTGGTGATCATGTCCCCCCTAACTCTTCTGTCTTCCAGCGAAGTGAGGTTTAATTCCCGTAGTCTCTCCTCGTAGCTCATACCTCTCAGCTCGGGTACTAGTCTGGTGGCAAACCTTTGAACCTTTTCCAGTTTAGTCTTATCCTTGACTAGATATGGACTCCATGCTGGGGCTGCATACTCCAGGATTGGCCTGACATATGTGGTATACAAAGTTCTGAATGATTCTTTACACAAGTTTCTGAATGCCGTTCGTATGTTGGCCAGCCTGGCATATGCCGCTGATGTTATCCGCTTGATATGTGCTGCAGGAGACAGGTCTGGCGTGATATCAACCCCCAAGTCTTTTTCCTTCTCTGACTCCTGAAGAATTTCCTCTCCCAGATGATACCTTGTATCTGGCCTCCTGCTCCCTACACCTATCTTCATTACATTACATTTGGTTGGGTTAAACTCTAACAACCATTTGTTCGACCATTCCTTCAGCTTGTCTAGGTCTTCTTGAAGCCTCAAACAGTCCTCTTCTGTTTTAATCCTTCTCATAATTTTAGCATCGTCCGCAAACATTGAGAGAAATGAATCGATACCCTCCGGGAGATCATTTACATATATCAGAAACAAGATAGGACCGAGTACAGAGCCCTGTGGGACTCCACTGGTGACTTCACGCCAATCGGAGGTCTCACCCCTCACCGTAACTCTCTGCTTCCTATTGCTTAGATACTCCCTTATCCACTGGAGCACCTTACCAGCTACACCTGCCTGTCTCTCCAGCTTATGTACCAGCCTCTTATGCGGTACTGTGTCAAAGGCTTTCCGACAATCCAAGAAAATGCAGTCCGCCCAGCCCTCTCTTTCTTGCTTAATCTGTGTCACCTGATCGTAGAATTCTATCAAGCCTGTAAGGCAAGATTTACCCTCCCTGAATCCATGTTGGCGATTTGTCACGAAGTCCCTTCTCTCCAGATGTGTTACCAGGTTTTTCTCACGATCTTCTCCATCACCTTGCATGGTATACAAGTCAAGGACACTGGCCTGTAGTTCAGTGCCTCTTGTCTGTCGCCCTTTTTGTATATTGGGACCACATTCGCCGTCTTCCATATTTCTGGTAGGTCTCCCGTCTCTAGTGACTTACTATACACTATGGAGAGTGGCAGGCAAAGTGCCTCTGCACACTCTTTCAGTACCCATGGTGAGATCCCATCTGGACCAACAGCCTTTCTAACATCCAGATCCAGCAGGTGTCTCTTGACCTCCTCTCTCGTAATTTCGAACTCCTCCAAGGCCGCCTGGTTTACCTCCCTTTCTCCTAGCACAGTGACCTCACCCTGTTCTATTGTGAAGACCTCCTGGAACCTCTTGTTGAGTTCCTCACACACCTCTCTGTCATTCTCTGTATACCTGTCCTCGCCTGTTCTAAGTTTCAATACCTGTTCTTTCACTGTTGTTTTCCTTCTGATGTGACTGTGGAGTAGCTTTGGTTCGGTCTTGGCTTTGTTTGCTATATCATTTTCAAAATTTTTCTCTGCTTCTCTTCTCACCCTGACGTACTCATTCCTGGTTCTCTGGTATCTCTCTCTGCTTTCTGGTGTTCTGTTATTCCGGAAGTTCCTCCACGCCTTTTTGTTCAGTTTCTTCGCTTCCATACATGCCCTATTATACCATGGATTCTTCTGTTGCTTCTCGGATTTTTCCCTTTGGGCCGGGATGAACCTGTTTACTGCCTCCTGACACTTTTGGGTAACATAGTCCATCATACCCTGTACAGACTTGTCTCTGAGGTCTGTGTCCCAAGGTATTTCACTTAGGAAACTTCTCATCTGTTCATAATTCCCCTTTCGGTATGCCAGCCTTTTGATTCCTAGTTCTTTTTGGGGGGAGATAAGTCCTAGCTCTACCAGGTACTCAAAGTTCAATACACTGTGGTCACTCATTCCCAAGGGCGCTTCCATCTTAACTTCCCTTATATCCCATTCATTTAGGGTAAATATCAAATCAAGCATTGCTGGTTCATCTTCTCCTCTCATTCTTGTTGGTTCTTTGGTGTGCTGGCTTAGAAAGTTTCTTGTTGCCACGTCCAGCAGCTTAGCTCTCCATGTTTCTGGTCCTCCATGCGGGTCTCTGTTCTTCCAATCTATCTTCCCATGGTTGAAGTCTCCCATAATTAGTAGTCCAGATCCATTCCTGCTAGCAACAGAAGCTGCTCTTTCTATTATGTTAATGGTGGCCATGTTGTTTCTATCATATTCCTGTCTAGGTCTTCTGTCATTTGGTGGTGGATTATATATGACTGCGACTATAATTTTTTTCCGTGTGTGTGTGTGTGTGTGTGTGTGTGTGTGTGTGTGTGTGTGTGTGTAGGGGCGAGGAGGAGGAAGAAGGCATGGGAGGCCGCACATTAACCTAGCCTGTCTCTACACACTGACCTTATGGTGGACTTCCTTGAGATGTCTCTGTAGCGCTGCCCGGGACCCCAGCACCTTGAAGCACAGCTTACACTGGAACTCTCGCAGCACCTCCGCCATGTCTGTGGCCACGACCAACAATTATTACCTCTTCTCTCTCTCTCTCCCCCGGCGTCTTAGTATCTCCTACGTGTTCTTTATTGACATCAATTGCATAGACATGTTCAAGTTGGTGATTGAAATGGTGAGGGAGAGGTGGTGGTGAGAGTGGTGGTGAAAACTATCGTGGTGGTGACATTGATGGTGAAGGCTGTGATGGTGATAGTGGTGAGGGTGAAAAGTGTGGTGATACTGGTGAAGGCTGAAGTGGTGACGGCAGTCGACAAAGTGACATAGCGATATACAGTTATAATGAATGAATGTCTGTAAAAAAGAATGATAATTATTTGTATCTAAGTATTACATTATATAATTACAGATATACTTGTCATATTATATATATATATATATATATATATATATATATATATATATATATATATATATATATATTGGAGTACTTTCCAAGCCTTGACAAGGGTTCCTCACCATTATGGGCCCAACACTGTACCCTAATATGAGCTCTCCATCACCGTCACTATTACTGTGGTCTCCAGCACGACCATCACCACGACCATCACCACCACCACCACGACCATCACCACCACGACCATCACCACCACCACCACGACCATCACCACCACGACCATCACCACCACCATCACCACCACCACCACCACGACCATCACCACCACCACCACGACCATCACCACCACGACCATCACCACCACGACCATCACCACAACGACGACCATCACCACCACCACCACCACCACGACCATCACCACCACCACGACCATCACCACCACCACCACGACCATCACCACCACGACCATCACCACCACCACGACCATCACCACCACCACCACCACGACCATCACCACCACGATCATCACCACGACCACGACCATCACCACGACCACGACCATCACCACGACCACGACCATCACCACCACGACCATCAACACCACCACCACCACCACGACCATCACCACCACCACGACCATCACCACCACCACGACCATCAACACCACCACCACCACCACCACGACCATCACCACCACCACCACCACGACCATCACCACCACGACCATCACCACCACGACCATCACCACCACGACCATCACCACCACGACCATCACCACCACGACCATCACCACGACCATCACCACCACGACCATCACCACCACGACCACCACGACTATCACCCATCACCACGACCATCACCACCACCCATCATCACCACGACCATCATCACCACCACCACCACGACCATCACCACCACCATCACCACCACGACCATCACCACGACCATCACCACCAGGACCACCACCACCACGACCATCACCACGATGACTATCACCACCACGACCATCACCACCACCACGACCATCACCACCACCACCACCATCACCACCACGACCATCACCACCATGACCATCACCACCACGACCATCACCACCACCACCATCACCACCATGACCATCCACCACCACCACGACCATCACCACCACGACCACCACCACCACGACCATCACCACCACCACCACCACCATCACCACGACCATCACCACCACCACGACCATCACCACCACCACGACCATCACCACGACACCCACCACGACCATCACCACGACCATCACCACCACGACCACCACCACCACGACCACCACCACCACCACCACCACCACCACCACGACCATCACCACCACCACGACCATCAACACCACGACCATCACCACCACCACGACCATCACCACCACCACGACCATCAACACCACGACCATCACCACCACGACCATCACCACCACCACCACCACCACGACCATCACCACGACCATCACCACCACGACCATCAACACCACGACCATCACCACCACGACCATCACCACCACCACGACCATCAACACCACCACGACCATCACCACCACCACGACCATCAACACCACGACCATCACCACCACCACGACCAACACCACCACGATCATCAACACCACCACCATCACCACCACGACCATCCCCACCACCACGACCACCACCACCACCACCACCACCACCACGACCATCACCACCACGACCATCACCACCACGATCATCACCCACCATCACCACCCATCCCCACCACGACCATCACCACCACGACCACCACGACCATCACACCACCACCACGACCATCACCACCACCATCACCACCACCACCACCACCACCACGACCATCACCACCACGACCATCACCACCACGACCACCAGCACCACCACCACCACGACCATCCCCACCACCACCACCACGACCACCACCACCACGACCATCACCACCACGACCATCACCACCACGATCATCACCACCACCACCACGACCACCACCACCATGACCATCACCACCATGACCATCCCCACCACGACCATCACCACCACGACCACCAGCACCACGACCACCACGACGACCACCACCACCACGACCACAACGACCATCACCACCGACCATCACCACCACTACGACGACGACCACCACGACCACCACCACCACGACCATCACCACCACGACCACCACCATCACCATCACCACCACGACCATCACCACCACGACCACCAGACCATCACCACCACGACCACCACCACCACGACCACAACGACCATCACCACCACCACCACGACCATCACCACCACCACGACCATCACCACCACGACCACAACGACCATCACCACCACGACCACCAGCACCACCACCACCACGACCACCACGACGACGACCACCACCACGACCACAACGACCATCACCACCACGACCACCACCACCACGACCATCACCACCACGACCATCACCACCACGACCATCACCACCACTACGACGACGACCACCACGACCATCACCACCACGACCACCACCACCACGACCATCACCACCACGACCACCACCATCACCACCACCACGACCATCACCACCACGACCACCAGACCATCACCACCACCACCACGACCACCACCACCACGACCATCACCACCCCGACCATCACCACCACCACCCCGACCATCACCATCACCACTACCACCACGACCATCACCACCACGACCATCACCACCCCGACCATCACCATCACCACCACCACCACGACCATCACCACCACGACCACCACCACCACGACCATCACCACCACGACCATCACCACCACGACCATCACCACCACTACGACGACGACCACCACGACCACCACCACCAGCCAGGACCTGAGACAAGAGGTCTTCACCCACCAAGACGCCAGAGAGGACAACATCTCCACCACCACAATAACCCGTCTTAGAGATAATTACCCTGGAAGCAAAAATTATGACACAAAAGGTAAAAACTTGGAATTAATTGTTAAAGTAAACACAACTTTCAAATAATTGATGAAGGGAGAAACAAGAGAAAACATGGATAATGAAAATATGACATAATATGCCAGTCGAAGAGAAGACGCGGGTATAATAACGGAAATATACTTAAGAAGATCCACGAGGATACTAATATAACGTTCAATATAGTCACACTTTAAAAGGTGGTTTAACAAGTGTTAGTGTGACCAGCGGTGCCTGGTCACACTAACCAGCACCGCTGGTTCTTCACCCTTGCTGTGAACATTATCACATAGGTGGCTCATGTCACCCTGGCTGTGTACTCAGAGGTGACGTATGGTGTCACCCTCGCTGTGTTTAGTATACCAGAGTTGACACACTTCACTCTCGCTGTGTACAGAGGTAACACTATGTTCCGCATCGAAATACATAAGTCATATAGACTCTCTAAATATATATAACATTTATATACATATTTTCAGTCTCGTATATTATTAAAAGAAGTCGACTTAAGGACCGTCTCGCAGAATATTTAACCATTCCAAGATATCTTTCAAGTCGGAAATACAAGAACAAACGGCATTAGTATCGAACGATTTCCAAGATATCATATTCACCGAGGATGTTATCGAGGAACATATGATTAAATATTATTGGGAAGCTAAATTTCCAGTCGTCGTGTAGTATCAGAAGGTGCGTGACTTAGCGGGTGAATAAGAAGCCAGTAAGGGTTCTTGGTTCCACCGCGCCGCGCTAGTCGCGTGAGGGCAGTCCGCAGCCTACTCAGCCACCTCTCCCTGCTCCCTGTTATGGTGGCAGGACGAACCCTTGTGGGGTTTAGGTCATATCTGGTGCACAGTAATATGTTATTCATAACAGCCAACCATTCATTATAAACTGCGTTATAAATGACAGTAAAAATCTGAGTAAGGATTTCGATTATGGGAAATGGGAGCGGCACAACCGTCATCGTGCAGACTGTTCTCTTAACTTGCTGCAAAGGAACAGGAAGTAAAATACAATTTGAATTCCAGTTTGGCAGCAGGAAGCTGCTTCTGGAAACTTTCCTTATCACAACTACTCAATAGCTCGGTCCATAGAGCTTTGGCCTCACATACGTTGAGTCTATGGTTCGAGTCTCCTACAGCCCAGGCGAATGGAAGAGGAAGTAAGTAATTATGAAAAGAAGGCACCAAGCCGGGGAGACTACGTAGCACCATCAATTGCAGGATGTTCAAAAGGCGCTAAATATCACTAAGGATGCCAATGCGAGAACAAAAGTGTATAAAGCGAGCGATATCAACAGTATCGGATTCACAATACGGACAATACAAAACAGGGTGGCGCTCCATTAAGTGCCTGCGAGTTAAACGTGTCTGGCCAATACGTAACCTCGCCAGAGTCGTTTCCCACCGCCATTTACTGTGGTAGGAGAAAGGCCATGAGGACACGCTACCCTTAAGAGTAGAGCACGCAGTTTGTTACCAGTAACAGAAGATCAACGACCCTGCCAATGGGCATGGATCGAGGAATGAATGATTGGGTAGAGATGAGAATAAGGAACACCTTTGTGGGAAATAGGACAAGTGTGGATAGCTTCCTTCGCGGCAGCATCTACACACTCATTTAAGGAAACACCAATATGGCTGGGAACCCAGCATAACTCAACTGTCTTAAGTCTGATGGAGAT